AAGCCGGAGCCCTGAATCCAAGACCTTAAATCCTGACCCCTAAGACCTAAGAACCTGTGGCTGAAGTCTAAACTTGACAATGATCCCAAACGCCCTGTAACCCTAAATCCTAAACCCGAAATCCACTGAACGCTACACCCTAATGCCTAAATCCTAAACCCTAAATCCTCTTTCCATGTTCTTTTCCATTGTCCCAATATAACCACTATAAGATTCCAGCCCATGCCCAGGGGCGGTGCACAGCAGCAAAAGGCTCCGAGGGGTCGTCCAGGTTTTGATTTAGGATTTAGGGCTTAGGGTTTAGGGTTTATGGTTAAGGGTTTAGGGTTTCGCGTGACAAGATCTGGGTGTGAGGTGAGAGAGTGTAGGGTTTAGGATAAGGGGTTCAGAGTTTTAGGGTTTAGGGGGTTGAAGCTTTGGGGTCGGGGGTTACTCTGTAGGGGTTTTGGGTTGTTTAGGGTTCGAGGGTTGCGGGTTCGGGGTTTAGGGTTAGAGGACGGGTTAGGGTTGTAAAGTTCAGGGTTTGCTTAGACGGTGGAGGTCCTGCGTTCTTGGGGAGATACCATGCAGCAACAGGACAGAACCCTAGAAAGGGGGTGCGTTATCTTCAGTTGAGGATAACGCACCCCCGATTCCCCCCCCAATACTAACTAGGAATTACCCTGGTTAAGGATCCTACATTGGGCCAGACTTCCTGCATCGACAGTATACAGCATGCTAAGCCCTAACCCCTAAGCCGTAAAGCCTGAGCCCTAAACCCTAGGCCTTAACCCCTAAGCCCTCGAGCCTAAGCCCAAAGCACTAAGCCCTAAGCCGCAAATCCTTAACCCTAAGCCCAAACCTTTTAAACCTTAAACCCTAAACCGTGAAATCACATATTCTTTGTAGTAGCTATTGCGACGCTGGATCAAGATGCGGAAGGCCATCGTGTAGCTATGCGTAGCTTTTGCCATGCCTATGGTTATCGGGATTAGGGTGTAGGATTCAGGGTTTCGAGTTCAGGGTTTAGGCTTTAGAGTTTAGGGCTTGGGACTTTAGAGTTGAGGGTAGATTAAGTTCCTTTAATCCTTATATTCCCCCAGTTTCCATTTCATGTTCCATGTTCTTTTCATGTGCTTCTCCATTTTAGGGGAAGAATATACTAACTTAAATTGATCTCCTTAACCCGGCATTCGCCATGCCGATGTCCCACTCCGCTGGTCTTTTCCTGGTCTCTGCAGCTCTGTGCAGTGCCACGTGGAGGCTCACGGGGCGTAACTTCTTACAACTAGGTTTATATGTAGTTGAGGGGTTAGGGTAGCCTCTACGAGCTGTAGCCTAAGCTGCTTAGAGCGGGTTATGGAGGATATTATATAGGCACCATGGTGGGGGTTATGCAGGGGGATGGTAGGAGTTCAGACTACGGCTCAAATGTGTCGACCCTAAGACAGCTATAAGTAGCTACCTTAAGCCCCAAACCCTAAACACTAACCCAGCTATAAGTAGTTACATTAAACCTTAAACCCTGAACCCTGAACCCTAAACCCTGAACCCTGAACCCTAAACCCTGAACCCTAAACCCTGAACCCTAAACCCTAAACCCTACACCCTGAAGCCTTAAAAACCTTAACCCTGTGAGCCTCCAGCTACAGGGACTGCGGGGAGGAAGGCTGCCAGCGTGGATTCCAGGATGAAGCTTCCCTGCTTTCAATCCAAGGACACAGGGGTCATCTGGATTGCTGTTATGGAATTCAGATTGAGCCATTATATTGGGGGTAGAATATAGGCTTTTAGGGTTTAGGGGTTGAGGGTTTGATCATTGTGGAAGCAAGTGGCTACTCGGACCTTTAGGGTAGGGTCTCAGCTGTTTGCACTAGACCATGATGGGAGAAATTATGCATGACCTTTGTATGTAATTGTAAAGCCGTGATTCCCAACGTGGAGCCAGGACAAAGGTCCCGACCACTCAGAATCTCCCCAAAACCCTGAAACCCTAACACCCTAAACCTTAAACCCCTAAACCCTAAGCCCTGAAATCCTAAACCTTCATACCCAAACCTTAAGCCCTAAAACCCTAAACGCTAAACTTGTCCTAACTCCTACACCCTATGAAACCTTCAAGCCCGGGACGGAAGTCCTCACCACCTAGAGCCTAAACCCTAAATACTGAATCCAAAACCTCAAATCCTGAACCCTTAGGGGTTTAGGGTTTAGGGTTTAGCTCGAATCCTGAACCCTTAGCCCAAAATCCTGAACCTTTGCGCCCTAAAACCCATGCCAGGACGGAGGTCCTCGCCACATAAATCCTAAAACCCTAAATCCTAAACTTGCCCTAACCCCTAAACCCTATACAGATCCTCAAAGCCAGGACAGAACCCTAAGTCCTGAAACCCAAACCTTGAAGCCCAAAACCCTAAACTTGCCTTAAACCCAAACCCCCAAACGCTACCTATACAACCCTAAAGCCAGGACGGAAGTCCTCACCTCCTAGGGTCTAAACCCTAAGTCCTACACTAAACCTTAAAACCCTAAACCCCTGAACCCTAAGTTTCCTCTCATCCCTAAACCCTATACAACCCTAAAGCCAGGACACAAGTCCTCACCTCCCAGAATTTCCATGGAGCCCCTGGGTCTCGAGTCGGCTACTGCAACGCCAAAGTCCGTGGCATCTGCTGAGCCCCTGGGTTTCCCCCATGTTCCCCTTTTTTGGGGTTCCTAGGGGCGTTTAGGGCTTAGGGTTTAGGGCCTATAGGGTTTGAGGTTTAGGGTTTTGGGTTTAGGCTTTGGGGTTTATATAATATATTCGAGGACCGAATCAGGTTTTATGGCTCAGGGTATGGGGTTTAGGGGTTCTAGGTTCCTGAGAAAGCCGTATGAGCTATAGTGTTAGCTTCTAAGGGATGATATATAAGGGAGATTACATGTTCCCCTTTTTGGGGTTCTAGATTCGTTTAGGATTTAGGGTTTCAGGGTCTAGGGTTGTATGGCAAAGGGTTTGGGGTTTGGGGTGCTTTAGGGTTTAGCGTCTAGGTAGAGGTATAAACCCATTTCGTTTTCATGGAAAGACAATGGAAACTATTATTTTGGGTCTAAGATTTAGTGCTTAGGATCTTGGGATGGTTTGCCCCAATCATGGGTAACCAAATGGAAAAGAAAGCGGAACATGAAATGGAGACCGGGGTTAGCAAGGGGTTCTGGCATCTTCCAGAAAACAAGGGGGCACCAATATAGACTCCAATACACTATAACCCGCTTTATTCTGGGAACCCCAACACTGGCACCAAGAACTCTAGGAAGCCCGTATGAGCGAGCGTCTAAACTCTTAGCAACCTTTTGAATAACCCTTATAGTAGTCCCCTACATAATCAGGTAAATAACCCCCTCTAAGGAGTGCAGACTATAGCTCATGTGGGTGGTTGTCAAAATTATGGTCCCTTTTTGGGTACCCTAAATATTAGGTGCCGTATTATAGTGGGGATCCAAAAAGGGACCATAATTTTGACAACCACCCATGTAAACCCTGAACCCTAAACCGTAAGGGTGTCTCTCTTCCTACATTATGGGGGGATCCAAGGCTCGCAACCAAGTTCCCATCCAAGTACGGCAAGTTTGAAGCGAGCATTCAGTATGGAGGTGCAGACGGGGCTTAGGGTTTAGGGTTATAGTCCCCCTTAAGTAGATAGAATATGGGGTATCTTGGGATCCTATTATAATATACCTCCAGCCATATTCTATCTACTTAAGGGGGGACTATAAGAGTTTAGGGCCTAAGTATGCAGTATGCAGGCGCAGACGGAGTCATAGGGTATAGGGTTTAGGGTTTGGAGCCTAGGGTCTAGTGCTCAGCATGCAGGTGCAGACGGAATCATCAGCTCCTTCTTCATGTGGAAGAAGGGGTCAGATAAGAGCAATGTCTACTGGAATGAGCTGGACTTCGAAAAGCTCGGGGCTTTGTGTGACTTACTGGTGGTTAGTAGGGAATGAGGGGACATAAGCCCCATAATCCCTATAAAGAATGTTCCCGCATTCCCTCCTAAACCATTTTTACATACACATGGACATGTTCCCCAATTCCCTAGTAACTAGCAGTAAGCTCCTTGGGACTTAGCCTGGACCTTAGACCTTTTGTTTTGTGGGATTCCCTTATACTCCTAGTATAGGTACCTAAGGGTTTAACCCTGAGTAGGGGTCCTCAGTCCTCAGTACCTTGAACCTTAAACCCTAGACCCCCAAAAATCCTTACATAGCCCTATAATATAATGGTTTCCATTTTCTTTTTCATTAACTTCTAGTAAGGGTCCTAAGTGCCACGTAGTAAGGTGATGCAACCTGTAAGGTCCACCCTAAACCCCTAAACCCTAAACCCTAAAACCCTCAACCCCTAAAACCCTAAAACCCTAAACCCCCCGTAAAACCCTTAGTAAGGTGATGGCACCTGTAAGATGCAACTCAACTTGATTGCTGGCAAGCCGGGTCCCGAAGCTAGGAGGCCCAGTGGTACCTTTTTTACCCTTTTGGGTTCTGGGTTCGTTTTAGGGTTTTAGGGTTCTAGGGTTTGGGGGTTTTAGGTTTTGGGTTCTAAGGGTTCTAGGGTCTTAGGGTTTTAGGATTTTAGGGTAAGGTTTTAGGGCTTAGGGTTTACTTTTATTGCCCTGTCCCTTTTGGGTTCTGGGATTCTTGTAGGGTTTAGGGTTTTGACCCTTGAAAGGGTATCCATCTTGTAATATATGGTTACTGGAGCACCCAGGAAGAGAATAAGAAGGAGGTGGATCTGTCAAAAATGAACATCTGCAGTGAGTTCCATACCTACGCCTTCGAGTGGACGCCAACGGTGGTGAGGTACACCGTGGATGGTGTGGAGGTCTACTAATCCAAGCCCCCAACCCTAAGCCCGAAAGCCTAAACCTTAAGCCCTAAACCCTCAACCCTAAACCTTAAACCCTAAACCCTGAACCCTAAACCTTAAACCCTAAAGCCTGAACCCTAGAACCCTAAACTCTAAACCTTAAACCCTAAACCAGGTTCACAAGATCACGGGCCCAAAGCTGGAAGAGTTTAACAAAAACGTTGGCAGTGGTATCTGGATCAATGTTAGGGATCCTTTATACTTTTTGGGGTGTGGGATTCCTTATATTTCTGTAAAAAGGATCCTTTTTTCTTCCTAGGGTAATGTGGGCTTAGGTATGGAAATCCGCTTTAACTTGTGGCCCGGCGACGAGACTTTCGGCGGACATTTCAAGGTAGGTAGTTCTCAAGTCTTAGATGTTTATCCTCACAGAAGGATAGGTTCCTTCAAGCCTAAATTAGGCCCTAAATCTTAAACCCTAATACCCTAAATCCTGAAACTCTAAAACCCTAAACCCCAACCCTAAATCCCCAAACCTTTAGACCCTAAACCGTAAATCGCGTGAAGGGAGACCGTGAATTTTGAAGAGACTCGCAGGTGAAGAGCTTGCCGGTGTACCAGTACATCGATTGGGTCCCTAGGTTTCACTCTGTGCTTAATGGGTTTAGGAGTTGGGGTTCAGAGTTTAGGGTTTTGGGTGCATGGTTTCACTTTGTGACATTCTTCAGTTTTTCTCAGAGTTTTGCAAAGGAGCCTACCCATCCGCAATTTCGAGGGCTTTTCAAGCTAAACCCTAAACCTTAAACCCAAATACCACCCACAAGGTCCGTTACTCCTCCTACTCCGGACGCGGCCGATTCAAAAGACGGTGGCAGCAGGACTTAGAACCCCTATTATACTGCAGTACTTTCCTAAACCCTAAACTCTGAACCTTAAACCCTAAACCTTAACCCTATAAACCCTAAACCCTTAACCGCGTGTGGCAGCAGGACTTCAACAGCAAGCGCCGGCCAAGGCACTGGTTCATCTGCCGATCTAATGGGTAACTTTTGGTCTAGGGATTACGTAGGGTTTAGGGATTAGGGTTTAGGGTTTGGGGCTTAGGGTCTAGGGACCCTAAAGATGAAAACCTAAACCATGTGGCCTAGAACCCTGCAACGTTTTGGCCTGAAACCATAAACTTTTTGACGTCATGGCCCTAATCCCTAACACCTACTTGAAGTCGCAGGGGAATAAATACGTGGGTTATTCATGGGGTTATAAGCAGAATCAGGTCGAATTCCAAATGTGGATTTATAACCCCATTGATAATCTACTTACTGGATCCCCTCAACCTTCAAGTATGCGCAATGAAAGTAAACCCCAAACCCGAAAACCCTCAACCCCAAACCAAATTTTTATGGAGCAACAAGGTTTGTGGGCAGCTGGAACTCTCCCCTGGGGTACTCCAAGCACCGGCCGAAGAATGTCATCTTTACACATGGCTATGCTGTTCCTTGCTTATTCTTAACCCTCTGCCCTAGCATGAAAACGGGATTTGTTGGACTCGGGAAGTTTCTCCCAAGAGTGGACAAATGTAGTCCTGAAGCCTACAGCAATGCCCAGCATGTCTCATCCTATCCCCATACCCTCAGTCCCAACAAGGCCCTAAACCCTAACCCTAAACCCACAGCCTACACCGCAAACTGTACATGGTGACAGTAACCCTAAACCCTAAACCCAAACCTGTACACCATGACTCTAAACCCTGAACCCTAAACCCTAAACCCTAAACCCTAATCCCTAAACCCTAATCCCTAAACCCTAAACCCTTTCACACCAACCCCCGGCTCTGTACGAGTAAGGTTTTGGCACTCACGCACGCGGACGATGCTTCCTGGATTGGCTCAGCCTAGCTCTTAATGAGGTTTGGGGTTTAGGGGTTTCGGGCTACGGGTTTAAGATTTAGGGTTTAAGGTGTAGAGTTTATAGAGCTTATGGTTTATGTTTGGGACATAGCTTCATTTTTTCAGGGTTCCCGAAGTAAGCACCGGGGCCGGGCCCTATTACCAAACCTCTGCTCTATATGAACCATAGTCTGAATTCCTTCAAGTAATTATCGGGGACTATTATAGGGTCATTAAGGGGGATACTGGGAGTTTCGACTACAGCTCATATAGCCTTATATACAACGGTTTAAGCCCTGAACCCTAAAGTGTAGAATTCCCTCTGAAGTCGGCTAAGGTTCCATCTGCCACCAGCATTCCAATTCCACCTCGTGGACCAACTGGATCTCCAAAACGCCCCACGGTTAAGGTTTAGAGCTTTAGGGTTTAAGGTTTAGGGTTTAGGGTTTGAGGTTCACTTGGGGTTTGGGTTTAGGGGTTACTGTATTTCAGATTCAGATTCAGGGCTTAGGGTTTAGGGATCCACTTGGAAATTGTTGCGCAACTGGCCCGCAGGATTTGAATAGCCGTCTAGATTTCAGGAGTGGAAGAGTTGAGGGTTTTGATAGCATGTTTAGGGTTTAGGGTTTAGGGCTTAGGCATCTTCTTCCCCTTTCACATTGCGGCTTCATTGCATCCATGGTCCCTAAGCCCTAAACCGCAACTCTGTGGTTCTTATTCTAGAGACTCCCAAAGAGGAGCTGCTGACTCCTGGAAGCTCCCAGGTATACTGCCTGGTACTGACTGTGGGTTTACGTGGGCCGTAGCTCCTACACCCTAAATCCTAAATCCTAAGCCGTGAGCCGTAGAGGTCCTGGCGAGTCCATGGAGAACTCAACCCTAAACCCTAAACCCCAAGCCCTATACCCCAAACCCTAAGCCCTAAACCCTAAGCCCTAAGCCTCAAACCCNNAAACCCTAAACCTTATAAACCTTATCTAACCCCTATAAGCCAAGTAAAGGTCCCGGGAAATCCATGGAGCCCCCTGACGCCCCGAGCACCGCGGTGGTGCCTACACCAAACACAGTTGCATCCGCCGAGCTTCTGGGTTGCTGTTAGGGTTTAG